CTTGCATTCTTTATACGTTATATATTTTAATATTCATTTGAAATTCAAATTGTGATTTGTTAATTGTTATGCAAAAACACACTGAAAGTTAGGCATTCAAAATATTTTATTTTGCCGGCTTCTATTTCTACGATTTGCGCCATATGGCACATCTAAAAAACACTTTCTTGAGGGGGTCATTCTGTTAGTTCCTTGGAAACAAAGAAATTTCTCGTGACATGATATTTTTTCCATCTAATCTCCTTCTCGGAAGGAAAATTCTGGATATTACATAAATTGCGTAGGTTTAATAGAGCAAAGGTCATGTCATAATCGAGAAACATCAGCCAGAAAGTTTCTTAGTAAATTTCTTCCATGTAATTCTCGAATGCTAAAACCGAATTTCCGATGAAAGCGGAAAAGGGGAAAAGTTATTCCAAGACTGCCTGTTGAAGTAGAAGTTTAATATGACGCTGAAAAGGCTAATTACGCGGTTGTATGTGGAATTGTCCTAGCCTGCAGGCATTTATTTGCTGCCCGCGGGCAGATACAAACACCTGTTACGCAGGCTAGAATTGCCCCAGACAAACACCGGCTATTCTAGAACGATGTTAACAGATCTGTGCGTCCGCTGAAGTAATATCCACCAAGTTTTCATGTAACGTAAAAGCTATAAAAGCTATCGCTATAAATTAAAGATCATTGCATTCAGAAATGACTAACTTAGATTTTGATATATAACACTTGAATTTACATGCAATATTGACTGCGCTATTGATGTTTGAACGTTGAACTACCGCTTTTGAAAATGCCAAAAATTAGCAAAAACAACTTATAATTACCGATGTAGTTATATAAATAATAGCTAAATATTTCTATTTTGGTTGTATCTCGCTCAATATTGCATGTAAATTCAAGTGTTATATATCAAAATCTAAGTTAGTCCCTTTTGGATGCAATGATCTTTATTTCATCGCGATAGCTTTTATAGCTTTTACATCAGAAATGTTGAAATGTATAAAAACCAAAAAGCTGCTATTTGCTGAACATTTAATGTTATTACTTTCGATTCATCTCTTCTTAATCGTTCCATCTCATTACCTCACTTCTTCTTCAAAAGTCAGTCCTTATTCCAAAATATCTGGATTGTTTGAGTATCTAACTCGTTTGACCTGATGTTGGTGATGACAGTCAGATTAGAATCAAGCATCATTTCAATGGGTGGTTCCAGCTATAGACTAAAAGTTTTGATCAAGGCAAGAAGAACGAAATCCAACACCACAGCTAGAAAGAGCGTCTTAGAATGAGTAAAACTGCAAAGATTGGTTGCTAAATGTTGTAAAATGAAGAAAATATATCGCTGTGAAGTTCGCAAAGTTTGTATATATTTGTATTACGCGCGGTAAAAATAACCACTTTCGGATAAAAAATGGTTATTTTTCCCGCGCGTAATGCAAATATACACAAAATTTGCGAACTTCGCAGGGCTATATTTTCCTCATTTTTACAACAATTCACAACCAAACTTTGCAATTTTACTTATTTTAAGATGCTCTTTCCAGCTATGGTAATGGATTCCGTTCTTCTTGTCTAGATCAAAATTTCGCCAATAGCCATTTCTCATTTCAATTTTTCAGCTTGAGATCTGGGACACAGCAGGTCAGGAACGCTTCAGGACAATCACCCAAAGTTATTACAGACGCGCCACCGGTTTAATCCTACTCTACGACATTACTAAATACGAATCCCTAACAGGACTAACACACTGGATAGACGACGTAAAGAGTTATGCTTTAGCAGATGTACTCATGATACTCGTGGGAGCAAAACAGGACTTAGCCGCAGAGAAACGTGAGGTGACAGAGGAACAAGCGAGGAAATTTGCTTCCAATTATCCTGAGATTGTTGATGTTGTGGAAACCTCTGCTAAGGTATGTCATATTTTCGCGTCTTTTTTGACCGTTTGCGTGCATCGCTATTAGGGACCTTTAGCAAATAGGTGACGGCAACGCGACGCGACGACGACGGCCAAAATAAACTCGTTCGAATGAGCAACTTTAAGATCAACATGTCTTGTATTATCCGTTGTGTGAATTTATTGCAATTTAAGAAGGTCAAGACAGAGGTTTATAGTTGAGAAGACTTCTCTACTAAGTCAATTAGTCCAATTTGGCGAGGACGACTTCTCGCGGCTTGAAAGGCAGACGTTGTGTACAAAACGTGAAAATCTTTGGTTTGCTGTTGTAAACAGAGCAAGGACGACGTCTAGAACTCCCATGGGACCTTTAATTATGCATTTTCTTTCTACACTGTCATTAAAATTTCATTATATTAATAGCCGTCGCCGTCCTGCTAGCTAAAGGTCCCTATTTTCAACCCCTTAAGAGACGGACTTTGAACCAAATCTAAGGTATCTGTTTCATGCACAATGCCACAATATCCCAAGAAAGTATAATGTCATAGTGATGATAATTTGATAATCAAAAATTGTTAAAATCTCAAGAACGACGAGAGTTTGGTAAAGTATCTAATTTGGTCAATTTACAGTGTACATCATACAAAATGGTGTGAAATTTCGGTACATAAGCACTGTAAATTTCTATAGTGACCTACGTCAGTCTGTGACGTAGTCTAGTGATGCTGGGCTTAGCAAAAACAAGCGATATTATAGTGGCAATGACAGAAAGTTGACAGATGTTGCCAAAGCGAAAGACGATTTTATTTCTTAAGTTGTGTTAAGTATTTAAGTTGTGTTAGGTACGGATGCTGCGCCTTGTTAATCCCAATCTATTCTAGAAATAAATTGTTTCCGTTAACAAATCACGTATTTATACTATTCTTGGATGTTTTCGAGGATGTTTTCGTGGTACAGGGACGTCTGCGTGGGCACATTATTAGAAGAGGTTCAGATTTCGGCTTCCGCTATCCTCTCTATTGAGTTCAAGAACTGCTGACGATGATATATGATGGTAAAGACGTCGCATACTATTTTTGCCGATATTGGTACATCCTTGAGTATATGTTTGCAAAGCAATCAATGTAAATATTTTCGCTTTCGATCCGGAAACCCGAATTCTCATGAGTTGCAGATTTTGATAAATAAACACTTAAGAGGTGGCGGCTTGTTTTTTTCCACGAAAAACAAACCAATTATTTTATTTTTGTTTAGAATTCTGTGAACATCGAAACAGTTTTTATCACGTTATCACGAGCGTTAAAGAACAAGTACGAAAAGAAAGCACAACCACGATCGCCAACATTTCCTAACACTATAGACAATCAACCAAAACCTTCACTGTTTGCGAGTCTGTGCAGTGTTAATAGATGTTGTAACTGATTGGGACAATAAACATTGGGTTTCCATACCCTAATACCGTGAGGTCACTGATAGAAATGTCATACTACTTTGTCTTATTTATAATAATAACTGGTCGTAAATAAATTGTGTGAATATATGAAGATTCCAAGAAATAAAACAGGGTTAGAACTTTGAAGAATTAATTAATGAACATTACGAATGTGACCAGCGGTAAATGAAATAGCTTGTAAAGTACTGTAAATAGTTAAAGTATTAAATGGATATGAAGTTTTGAGTTATGAAGAAAATTGTGTATTGTTTTCAATAGTTCAACAATTTATTTGAAACACATGTCGTTTTGCAGCATCCGCCTTTGATGTTTAATATTTCTATATTAATATCTTATTTTGTCTGGGTGTGTGTACCATTTGTGTGTTAAAATGTTATATAAGTATAGATGTAAGCCCCCTCGATAAGCAGTTTGCTTTTGGGGTAAACATCGAATAATAAATTTTAAATAAAAAAAAACTATGAGCAACAAGAGAATATCGTAGGCACAAAACCTCAAACTTGATTCAGTTGTCCATCGTATATTATTGGATAATCAAATATAAACTCTATGCAATTTTAACAAGGACCATAAACAGTCAACTCAAAATATATGTTCGGTTCAAAAATTCTCCTGACAAAACTTGGTGTATTTCATTATAAAGTTGGTTTGTCTGTCATACACTCGGTACCAGGTATTTGTCCACTCCGTTGGTAGCGCGGCCATGTACGTAGTGACGTCATCAGATGTGGCGCCATAAAACACTGTTTCTTCAGAGTTGGACCCATTGTTGGTTTCAGTACCAAAACTTCTGCCAGGCTCATTTGCATAAATCCCATTTCCTTGCGGTTCAGCCGGTTCATTGGATATTTGTGATTTTGCTGATTGTCCAGGATTTTGTACAATTGGCAATGGCTGCGATTCATTTGCATAAACCACGCCCCCTTGCGCTCCAGTCGGTTTATGGTCGTTTTCTTCCTTGGCTATTCGTGATTTCGACAATTGTGAAAACGGTCTTTGCGCACGAACATTGCTATTCATCTCACTTGGCAACTGCGTCTCATTTGCATAAATTGCGTTATTTGACGCGGCAACCAGATCAACATCATTTGCATCTTTAGCGTCTAGTCGACTTTAAGGATTGATTTAAAGTGTGAGACTCACTTGTGAGATGACCGGTATTTGAACTCCCAGCCGCGTTATCCTTGAGATACGCTTCCAAAACATTATCAAAATCTTTACACGAGACAGGCACGTGCGAATCACATGACTCATCACTTGACCCAGTCTCCTCAGAGCTGGAGAATTCGGACTCGCTGCCATCACTGACGAAATCCTCTCCGTTAAATTGCCCTGCTGTAGAAAGTAAGCCGGTGTCAGGATTTCGGAAAATTATTTCACAATTTTTGTTTGTCCCTACTGTTTTGTTATTATCTGTCACGTTTTCTGTTAGATCTTTTCTTTCTTCTTGCTGTACCTCATGTTCACCGCCTAAATCATTCATTTCCAACAACTTTTCTTCATCATTTGGCACGTTTATTCTCTTGTCAGCCTCAGTACCAACATCTGTATCGCTAACCATGTCTCTTTGTAAAAGACATCTTTCGTTTACCGTATAATTTATTCTACTGTCTATTTTTTGATCTTCAACAACGAATATTTCATCAGTGGTCTCTTGTCGAATATCGTTTTCTTGATCAGCATTAACCGTGAAGTTTTCATTATCCTTATGTTCAACTTCATTCTCTTTTACAATGCCAGTTTGTTGAATATTTCTTCCCGCTATTGAATTCCTTAGCATTACGCCTTCCTTTTGCACATTCTCCGCTGTACTTTCAATTGTTATGCTTTCATTTTGAGAAGTTCTTTCCTCTATTGTATTTTCAATTGTTATGTCTTCATTTTGAATATTCCTTGCTCGTGCAGTATTTTCCAGCTTGTTCTCCGCTCTTTGATTGTGTTCAACTTTTATGTTTTCCTCCATCTTGTTGCCTGTGTGTTGATTTCCAGCCTCACCGTTGGCCGCAATGTCTTCTTCTATTTTCTCTACACGTTCAATTTCAGTATCGTTATCGACAAAATTACCATCAATCGTTTGAAATTCAATTTCAACTTGTTCTTTCTCGACAAGCTCGCCATTTTGATTATTGTTTGTTTTGTGATTATTCGCCATTTTATCACTCGTATTATTGAATGAAGTTACCTCGTGTCTTTCAAACCTTTTCTGCTGCGATGCATGCATCATTTCGTCGGATAAAAGTTTCGACACATCATCTAAATTAAATATAAAACAATTCTTGGTGATCATGGTTGTGTTGCATGTTGTTCTTGCATGTTGTTCTTGCATGTTGTTCTTGCATGTTGCATGTTGCATTTTGCTGTATGTTGTATGTTGCATGTTGCTGTATGTTGCTGTATGTTGCATTTTGCTTGTTGCATGTTGCTGTATGTTGTATGTTGCATGTTGCTGTAAGTTGTGTGTTGTATGTTGCATGTATGTTGCATTTTGCTTGTTGTATGTTGCATTTTGCTTGTTGTATGTTGCATTTTGCTTGTTGTATGTTGCATGTTGCTGTATGTTGTATGTTGCATTTTGCTTGTTGTATGTTGCATGTTGCTGTATGTTGTATGTTGCATTTTGCTTGTTGTATGTTGCATGTTGTATGTTCCTGTTTTTGTTGTGGTTGTTGTTGCTACTAATGTTGCTTTTGTTTTTGTCGTTTATGTTCCGTATATTGTACATATACACAATACCTGGAAGAGACGTGATTGTCACTCCACAGCTAGCCTCGATTTCGTTCAAACTTGTCACCTCTTTTCCATCGGCCACGAAATTGATCGCCACGCCGTACGAACCTGGAACAGAAGTCACATGATCAATGCATATCGTTTAATCAATGCTTAGTACTTAGTACTATCGTGCAGCAGATGGTTGTCAACATGTAGTAATCAGAGTGAGAATATTTATAATATTTTTATTTTGGTTGTATCTCGCTCAATATTGCATTTAAATTCAAGTGTTATATATCAAACTCTAAGTTAGTCCTTTCTGAATGCAATGATCTCCATTTCATTGCGATAGCTTTTATAGCTTGTACGTTACATGAAATCAAACGACTTGTTGACAACTTGCTACAAGGTTGTTGTAATGTTGAGCTCAACAGACTTGTTACAAGTTGTTCCAACAACTTGTTATCGTCCTGCAATTCAACAATTTGTCAACAACCTTGTAGTAACTTGATAAAATAACAGCCTTGTTACAACTGGTTGACAAGCTCGCTACAAGTCTGTTGCGAACACATCTTGTTGACAAGTTGTGAGATTTTTCCGTGTGTACCCTGTAACGTTTATTAAACCACCAAACATAGAGGATAATATTCCGGGCATTATGTCCACTGAGGTGAGGGAGGGGGGGGAGGGTTTGAAGGAACGTAGATTCAAAAGTCTATAGTAGTATTTCCTTACCGAAGCGTCCAGCTCTACCCACTCTGTGTAAATACGTCTCACTATCACGTGGCAAGTCCATGTTAATCACGAGGTTAACACGTTCTGCGTCAATGCCACGAGATGTCTGAAAAAGATGACATTCATCACGGAGTGTCCACGTGGACAAATTGTGGCATGGGCGCATTGGGAAGGGGGGGGGGGCTTGTGGATCAACTTACTAGATCAGTAGAGATCAAGATGCGACATTTAAACTCCTTTAACTTCGCCATCGCATTCAGTCGTTCATTTTGTCCTTGGCTTCCTGTCAGAATATAGAAACAAAAAAGAATGGATGATAACGAATTTATCTCAGCTTGTCAATGCTTTAACTCAACTACAGTATAGCAGAGCATCAGCGATAATAATATAGTAGGACATAGGACTCTTTCCTTGAGCTTGAAGCCTTGAACAGTCTTTACAAGCAAAACAGACAAATGAAACAAAAAAATGATTGACAAAGATGAAAGGTAACCTGAGATATACGTGGAAGGCCAACCGTTCTTTGCCAAAGTCTCGCTTAAATTTTTCGCTCTAAAAACATGGAAAGCTTATATATTTGAGCTAGTATTTTAAACTAAAATAAATATCCAACATGAAAGAACACCAATACTAACCTGATTTGGTAATTTGAAAAAATCAAACATTGATAAAATGATAGCTTGGAGAGCAACTGAAGCAAGCTTTGAATCTAAAGATGAATGAGAGAAAGAGTAACATGAGAGTTGTGGACGCAGTGAAGTTAAGTCAGTTCAATTTGAAAGAAGTATTTATTCTTACTGTAATTCATGAGGAAAAGACAAAGTTTATGTGGTAAAAAATCATGTTAATTTACATGCACTTTAACTTTGATTTTCTCGGCTTAGACAACGTTTATTTTTAAAATTACTTTGTCAATGAACTCATCAGATGGGTCGTTTTTTAAGCCATTTCAAACACTCGCAGTCTGTAATTTATCAGATATAAAACACTCGAGCTGTGCTTTCGTGTTTTATATCTGATAAAGCACTCTTGAAGTAGTACTTAACCATCAAACACAAGCAAGAGTTACAACTTTAGTTTAACATTACTCCATATATTGCTAATTATGTTCTAATTACTCATTTAACAATGCTAATTACCTTCTCATGAAACACTTTGTGTGGAAGAGAATGGGCCGGAACAACACAATGATAGTGACGGATCCCTAAATGTGAGAAACAAATGATTTACATATATCCAATGAAAAAAACTAACAAGAGGCTGTTCATAACGTCCACCGTAGTGGTGGAAAATGTTTATTTTAGTAACGAAAAACACAATGAAAGGAGAAGAATTGAAGAAGTCACAGGAAAATGCTGTGCTGAGTGGTTATATTACTACCTTAAAAAATAAGCAGAAACTCGACGTTTCGAGCGAAGGCCCTTCGTCAAGAGTTAGTATTTGCTACTAACTCTTGACGCAGGGCAAGCTCGAAACGTCGAGTTTCTGCTTATTTCTTAAGGTAGTAATATAACCACTCAGCACAGCATTTTCACTTTGGTACTACCTACACTGGTACAGACAGTTTTAGAAGTCACAGGACACTGTGATGTTTAACCCTTTAAGTGGCAATGTGTCCTGATGTACCCTACTTTATCATCTAATGCCAGATGATTTTACTTGCCAAGGGGATAGCGCTTCTGCTCAATGGATTAATCAACCCATGTATCCTGTAAACCTTTTATTAGCTAGTGGCAATGCGCCCTGATATGCCCTACTTTATCATTTTACTCTGTCTAATGCCAGATAATTTTACTTGTCAAGGGGAGAGTGCTGCCACTCAATAGGTTAAAATTTATGCTAAATATACAAGGTGGTAAAAATAAGAAACCCATTTAGGATCCTCATTACATTGAGGGTAGCAGTAGGCTATATACAGGAGTCATATTTTACCTTCTAATGCAGGGTCAGCTGCATTCAAACGAACAAACGTTGGGTCTTTCATGTAATTTTTTAACCGCTCGGCAAGATGATCTGGGTAGGTTGCCGATAATGCCAACATCTGTTTACTGGTGGGAAGGGTTGAATATATCCAACTGAAAATAATTGATAAATTACACTTGTAAAAACTTATTAACAATTTCTCACTAATGTGATTATATAGTGATTAAATAGAAGTTTTCAAATATTTTTCACTGATGTAAATTGCATGCATTTTGACTTGAGCTGGTCTGCTGATGGCTGGTTGGCTGACTTCAGCTGGCTAACTTGGGCTGGTTGGCTGACTTTGGCTGGTTGGCTGACTGTTTTCCCAATCTACTAACTGACCAACTGTCTAGCAGGCTTCTTGGACAACTGACTAACTAGCAAGCTAACTAGACTGACTGAAAAAATATTTCAATTCATAAAAATATTTCAATTCATAAAAATATTTCAATTCATATAAATAGTTCAATTCATAAAAATATTTCAATTCATAAAAATATTTCAATTCATAAAAATAGTTCAATTCATACTTTATTTGTTCTTGAAAGTTTTCATCCAGCAACTTGTCAGCTTCGTCCAGGATAAACAGACGAATTGATGTGGTCTGCAGTAGTTTGCTTTCTATGAGATGTTTAACACGACCTGAATTGTAAATTAGATTCCTACATTATTTCATGAGCTTAAAATGTCCTCATGCATAACATCTGGAAGACAACTTGAAACAAGCCACTATTCATTTGAGAGAATAATGAACTCAAACAGTCTGTACCAGCATAGGACAATAACACCAGCAAGCTGCAGAAGTTTTACTTCGACGTTGAAGTTTTACTTGCAAGGCCGGCGAGAGAGGGGGGGCAGAGGGGGAAAAATCGTTGTGATCGATCGTAAAACGTACCAAATGTGAAATAAACAATTTTTCAATCGTTTTCTCTGCAAAAACAGTTAGCTGAACATCGTTCACATTGCATTTTTATCAGTTATGCGGCGATTTCTTACAAGTAATTTGTTTTGTCCCGGGGCCCATGGTTGGCTCTCGCCGGCCTTGTTTACTTGTATTTTTCAAGTAGTTGTATCCACCTTAATCAGCTTTCTGGAATAATGAACTACACTTTCTTTTATTATAACCACATTTTTCCTATGGGTCAGTCTAGTTGGTGCAACAAGTTCTTAGGCCAAATAAAAATAATAGTTGGTTTCAGGTTTCACAGCCATGTTTTATATGGGTAGGTAGGTCGGAAAAACATTTTATTTAAAAAATATTTTATCTCAAGTATGCAATAAATATAAGTTAAAACTATGATTAACATGACTAGATAATGATTAAATTATAAGCAAACAAACTAATTTGTAGATTATTTATATATTCTACTAGACTACTATTTACAAAAAGATGATCTCTACTGGCAAATGTCAATAAAATGTTTATGGTTGGTCATATTTTTGACAGGTCGGTAGGAAACCTGAAACCAACTGTTATTTTTATTTGGCCTTATAGAATCCCAGAAGATCATGAAATTTTTTGTCAAAACTGGAACCTATTTATAAAATGTCTCACCTGGGCTTCCAATTGCAATATGACATTGTTTTAAGCAATTTTTGTCATGCTCCAATGGCATTCCTCCAATAAACACATGAGTTCGTAATCCTTTCAAATGCCGACCAATGGAACACATGACATCCTTGATTTGAACAGCAATTTCACGAGTTGGGGCAAGCACTAAAACTTGTGGTAATGTCACAGCCAAGTTAATATTCTCCAGAGCAATGACACTGAAAACACAAGTTTTACCAGTCCCAGATTTTGCCTGTGCTATTAAATCTAGTAAAGAAACAAATATTTTAGAATATGCTTACAAATAATAGTTTGAATTTTTTTTATTTTATTTTTTTTTATTGAAATGCAAAAACAAAAACTTTGGTAAGGCTGTTGACAAATAGATTTTCTTCCAGGATTGCAGACTTGTTTCACAATTGATTTGACCCTCTATCTCCTTCTCTACTAGACAGATAGACAAGTCAGTGTCTTTTCAGAAGAGAGAGACAAATTTCACCCACTCGCATGAGGTAAAATCTATTTGTTGACAGCCCTATTAAATTCACTTTAATAATAAGAAACACTTACCTAGGCCACATCTACCAAGTGGTATTGCTTTGAGCTGTATAGGAGAAGGTCTTTCAAACCCGGCACTTTTTAAACCTTCAAGTACATCGCTGGATAACATGAGTCCAGAAAAATCGACTTTTTCGTCTATCAAAACGTCTGTAGTTCGACGTTTCTCGCCAAAACGATGAGCTGTTCGTCTCCTCCGCATCCTTTTTCAATTCACAGGGTATAACGGAAACATACGGCCAATAAAACATTCAATTATGTTTAAAACAAACGTTTATTTAACAACAAATACGCATAATGTGCTGGGCAAATTGTGCACTCTTTGCAGCCGCCATATTGGATATGAAAATTTGGAAAAGTAGTTTCCAGTCTCTCCATTCAGCAAACGAATTTTGTCTGTGTGCAATTAAGTTTTGTCTGTTTGTCCGTTTGTTCTAATCATTTCTTAATTTTTTGTTTGTTTGTTTGTTTGTTTGTTTGTTTGTTTGTTTGTTTGTTTATTTGTTTGTTTGCTTGCTTGCATGCATGCTTGCTTGCTTGTTTGTTTGTTTGTTTGTTTGTTTATTTGTTTACCTTCCGTCCTTTACCCCACATGTATGGCCTCGAATAAAGGGAAAACTAAGCATGGCAAAACCCTGAATAACTATCCCAAATAGAGTTTAGAATTCGGGTAAGAATTAAGTTCAGAAATACCTCATATATTTCCCGCCCACGTTTTCGCAACGCTATCCAACCGTGACGGCGTGTTCAGTATCTGGGCGCTCTGCCACTATTAATAATATCTTGAAGCGTTTCATCTTGACCTCTGCTGACCTCCGACCATAGTGACGACTAACACTCTTGATGGATGTGTCCATTGGATTTTGACTTGTGATTCGGTGTTGAAGTGATAACGCTTGAAACAGTATCTCTCAAGCACCGATTGTTTGCAGGCTTTACGTCGCCCGGAAGATTTGCTAAAGAAGAGATTAAAAGAACGGTTTTCTTTCTTATATGGCGTTCTTTTTCGACTTGGTATCATCAAATTAGCCAAATGAAGGTAATTAAGAATCCTAATGCTTAGAAAATTTACACTATTTAAGCCTGAATATAGCTAGATTTAATTAGCGCGACAAATTTAAAAAAATATTATCTTACGCCGGGCATAAATACATAAACCGAACGCGGGTGAGTAAATTTGTTACTTAATTATCATAAAACGCGCTTCGTTGCTATAATTTCGCGCAGAAAATGTAAATCTTTACCAACTGTGCGCTTTTAATTAGATTTGAAACTACTGTGCGCGAGGCTGTGCGCTTCCGCGGTTTTTGACTTGCGTTGGCCATTACATAGGAGCGGTACCCAACTCCAATCATAATTTCTCACTTAACGTAAAGTAATATGAATTGCCGAAGAAACAAGTTAGTTTGAAATGCAAAAACAGCATGTACATTTATTATTTGCAAAGCTTTCGATCCGTAATCCCGGATCTTCCTCAAGCTCGGATCTTCATCAGCCGCTGTAATAATATGACTTGTTAATTCACACGGCGTTTAATTCACCTGATATTATTATTATTCGCAATGTAAAACTACAAGTAACATATTAGTTTGAAAGGTTCAGGCATAAGTTACACATCATAAGTGACAACTTGTGTAAACATTTCTACTTTGTAAAATGCGTTGAAAATGGTAATTGTGAGACTCGTATTAAGTTCACATTTATTGCACAGTTCATAATTTGTTTACAGAGCGTTATTCAGTCAGCATTCTATGCGCGCGTAATATTCCTACAGTGATGTAAAAGCAAAGTTCTATGGCGCACCCGCGCGTTAAGAAAATAATTTTGAACGTGGCGAGCTACGTGCGCGCTCTATGTGGTATAGAACGTGTGGAGTTATTAACGGCATTTTAATTTTCATTGCATTGAAGACAAAACAAGTGGAGTATGGAGGATTGAATCTCGAGAGGAGAGGGTCATAATATTGCGCTTACAACACGATAAAATAGGCTATGTAGTCAAAACAATCAGGTGGAATTGACGGAATTTTTGTCTTGCAAGACGTGAAAATTTGTTTGGCCGTTTAATCGCCGCAAAGCTTTTTTACGCGCAAATTGCTGAGATGATAGAAATTAATTAATGCATTTGCTGTGATGCAAAGATTATTAGATTGACACAGAATTTGAAACAGATCTTCAAATAAACACCGAGGAATTGCTTCCCATGATATTGAAATACTGAATGGCTGTATTTCATCTTGTCTTTTTGATTATTTTTTTTATTTGACCACCAGGAAAATAGTTGGCACATTACCGGCACGCAAATGAAACAATCTGTCAGCAATGTTGTTGAACTTGAGCGTCATTACGCCGCAAATACTAAACAAGTGTTTTCTAGATCATCGATATGTAATCCCATTACCCTCTAAAATTAGATAACTTGGATAGGAATAACCTTTTTATCTCCTTTTCACATGTTTCACATTGTATATGTGAATAAATTGAATATTATTATTAAATTATGCAACGTTTTCAAATTGCTTTGGCGCGGTTGTGAGAACAAGCGCTTTCACCTCCGATTGAGATCGTGTCATCGCGGGTTCGATTCTCGCTACGGACTCATGTGAAAAGAGTCTGTCGACGCTCTGTCGAAAGTCATGGCAACCTCGTTCCAAGAAAGACCCTGGGAACGAGGTTGAAGTCATGGCTCCGATTTCTTCCCACAAGGAAGGTTAGGAGAAATATAGGTAGGAAAGTAATATCACAATTGTTGAAAAGATAAATAGTCTAGGCTAAGTAGGTAATATAAGTAAGCATAACACGTGATGCAGTCGGTCACTGAAAACTTACAGAAAAGCCCTGATGGGGAGTCAGCTGAATAATGTGTATGTATATTTCAGTATGTATGCGGGAAACTTTATACAGAGCTCAAGTGCTAACATTTGCCCGCATTCTCATATTTTTCCTTTTCCAAAACATGGAATGGGTGCAGTCTACATGCGAACGCATTCTTCTACTTTCGTTTACTGTTAAGACGCAATTTTTTTCAATGTCGTGTGATTGCAATGAAAAGTGTTCAAAACCTAAAATCTTTTTCGCATTCCCTTTTAAATGTATCTTGCGGTTGAGAAACATAAAATAATAGTTAAATACTGTCAAATTAAATACAATTTTAGCATAACTTTACAGATAAAGCACTAAACATTGAAAAACGTATCAATATTAGAAAAAAATTAAATATAGTCATAACCATGCAAGTGGAAGTGATATTCAATAGTTTTGAGTTCGTGTTACGTATAACATACAAAAGATTCTCCCTTAATAAAATCTGCTGCCTTTGTGTTCAAGTATTCACCTGTTATTACTAAATTATTATCAAATTATTGACATAATTAGTACCAAATTCAGTCATTACTGGCTCTATCGCATATCATTGAAGGCTTAGTACCGCACAAAGATACCCTAAGCGTTTCTTTGTAATACCATATCTGAAACGGAAAACCGAAGTGCATGAATAGAAAACTCAACTATTTCAATAAAACTCAAGAATCTTATCGGTACGCATGCTGAATAGAGGCCTTATTACTTGGCCCATAGTTAATAGAGGAGAGGGTTTGGAAGCTGGGGGCGTGGCGAAATTATGTTATTGTTCTCTGTCACGTGACAATACGGGTGCATCAAAATCTATTTGTAATAGGAGATTGTATTACAGAGGAGGCTGTAGTGCTTGAAAAACGTCTTTTACAGAAAGGATATCCAAATATCAGTTGCAAATTGCTCCATACATGGTTGCGGGACTAGTACAAAACACTTTGGTCTCAGTATTTTTTGAAATCCAACAAAAGACGACGATTTATCGACGAAAATTCGCGAAGCGTTGGCGAGGCTTGTCACCAAGGACGCTGGATCGAGAGATAGATGCAAGTTTAAGAAATCAAATCGCTCAACAAACACTTCACGTTTGTGAAAGACACTTTGAAAAGACCCAGCCGAAACATGTAAGTTATTTTCTTTCTCTGGTAGAGGTATTGATATTTCGGTATGAACGCTTGAAAGTTACAACTTAGCAGAAGTACTGTATGTATCAAATTATCAAATTTGTATTAACCATATGGTCATAGAGCAGGAAAAATATATTAAATATTAATGATTTGCATAAAAGTGCGTTTCGGTCATTAGGTCATATTTATATAACAGTTGATTAACCCTTGTGTTCATAAAATGAAGGTATACATATTATTCAGGACACTGTCACTGAGGACAGTAGAAACATTTTTCGTATACAGTATTACAAAGTATTATACAGTATTCAAAGGCTATTTTAATAGCAAGAAACTGGCATAGTAAAGTAACAGGATTTTTGTTTGGCCATGTCATAGTATATGAAAGCCCCATTTACAGTTATTATAAATCTTGTTTGCTGTGAATTTTATTATAATTACTATCTTAACAATACTTGTATAAATTAAGTCAACTTACTGTATATATAATCAGATATTTTATGTTCTGCTTTAGTTCCCACCTGCAAAAGGCTTGTAGCTGGTGCTATTCCTACCTTTAATTTCCCCCAGAAAAGCATACCTCTCTACATCGACAATTGGAGCCAGGTAACATTGCTGGTCGTCACACTGGTCAGAGGAGTAAATGGTATCGTGGATTAGAAAAGGCCTTGCCGTAACATAAAACAGAAGTAATCTAGTGAGAACTTTTGTGGGGTTTTTGTACCCAGAGCTGTCAAGGGTCTGTAGCTTGCCTACTTCTGTTTGAACAAAGTTCATATAAACAAAACTGTGAAGCAATAAACAAACCTTTTACTTCCTCTAGTCAGAACATCAAAATTAAAACAAAAGATTAAATTATTTCAAACAGGTCAGGCTTTGATAGGATGTTTTGTAATCTTAAGAACTCTGTAAAATACCTTCCAAAATGCAGAGAATGTGTAAAATACCTTCCCAAATGCAGGGAATGGCATTTCCAACCCAGACCCCTCTAGGAGTCTTGTGCCTTCAATGTTCAATAATTTTTCGGGCCACCTACTTGTAAACTTAATGACAGCACTGCTTCAAAAGAGTAATATGCAATAATTTGTACATATGCTATAAAATAATTATTAAAACAGTTATAAATGAATAGGTGAACAATAAGACTAGAACAATATATTACCTTAGTTGAATAATTTGTAAAAATTTATACTAATATATACAGTAAATCACTATTACACAAAATTTTGTTTCACTTCAAATAAACAAGACATTGGTAGGCTCAACTTTGAGTTATCATGGTTTGAGAGACAACGACAGCTAGAATCAGAGCACACTGATGTACCGGTAGTGAATAAGTACACTATTCACATCTGAAATTGGCTGTCATCCAGGGGCATAGGAACCAGGGGGGCAAGGCCCCCCAAGTTCTCAGAAGATGCAAAAAGTGTCCTTTGAGTGTGGGGCAGTTAAACAATGAAATGACCAGCCTGCTTGGCATGCTTTGGGCTGGAGCACGACAAATGGCAAAATTTGAAACTTAACAGCCATACAGTTTACCAATATTCTCAAAACACAAGGACGTACTGGCATTCTTTTGATACTGCAATGCTATTAGATTGCTCAATAATGTCATTCCACAAACTTTTTGCTAATGGAGGAGCTTGGACATTCTTAATAACTTTATCAACGTGTAAAGAAGTAGGTTTGCCTTAATTCTTGTGTGCTTTCTAAAGCACGATTCAGCAATTCTAGCAATATCATTAAGTCATGAATTTGGTACCCACAGGGCTGACGGCCCCAGCAACATAAGCTGGGTGGTCCAAACTCTTCTGATTTCACTGATAATTACTAGCAGAATACAAACATTAAAAAATATTTCTGGGTATATAATCCTTTGCACATAGGTAAAATCTTCTGGCACTGGAGAGGAATAAGAACTAAGTTTAATACCCTTAGGTCAATATTGTACTATACAGAGGAAATATCAAAATTTGATATTTCCTCTGTATGATATTTCCTTTGATATCTCCTTTGTCTAATACTGATTATAAGACTTGGTCTTGGAAACTGTGGGATGCATGGGCATGAAATATCATGGAATCTTGGAATAACATTCTATTTTGATGTGACAGAATGATCAAAAGTAACAAATCACATGTTAGTAGACATTGAATCACTGTATATTGGTCAATGGCTGGACTTGTAATTGACAATTGACAAGCCTTAGGGATGGCCTTAGGGCCTACTATTTTAAGACATTCATATCTAGGTTACAGTATATTGTCCATATATATATACAGTATTAAGATATTTACTGGTATTAAAGCATGCAGTTTCTTCAGTGTTTATAATAAGAATATCTGCTGGCAAAGTCAACCGTTCGGGCATATTCACCAGCATCAAAAGCACGACTTTATCTTCTCTGCATGGATGAAAATATTCTTTCCTTTTCCCTACCTCTCGAATGATCGACAATGCCTTCTCATATGCGTGATAAGTCATATATAACATGGGTTTTGATTTTCCCTTTGGCAGTACTAGCTGTAGAATTTGTCGAGTGCTTAATACTGCGTCGATATTCGCACGGGAATTGCTTTAATCCTTCAATCTAAACGACAAATATAAGTCAAATATTAAGTCTAAGGCATCTCACTACATATTGTTTAATTGGACACCGTATAAAGGACTTACTTCTTCAACTGAACGCGATATTTCTTCAGTTAATTCATCCGCGTTGATTTGCAGCAGCTAAATAGTTTGATGAAAATCGCCTCCGTCGTTGTATCTGCGTCTCCAGCACCAGAATTGGGTGAATTTTGCTTTCTGAATCGTATGCCGAACTTGTCGAAGCCATAACAAGAACAACAATGCCTCATTTTAAAATTTATAAGCACAATAGTATATTTCTGTAATACTACGCTATAGTAATTTCTGAATTTGATGCACCCGAAATGTCACGTGACGTACCTTTCCAACATCTGAAATTAATTAGCTCGAAAGCCTTTGAAGTTTGCCGGCCTTCCAAACCCTGTCCTCTATTAACTATGCTTGGCCTTAAACGTATCACATTTCAATATCCACAGACTACACAGAGATGAGTAGTATATAGGATTTATCAATCAATCAATAATATGGCTACCAACCAATTGCATTGCAAGGTAGTGTTGATTCTTCCTTTAAAACGAGAATGAAAGTTCAGCGGATGAGAGTTGGTAGTCACGCATTGTTACAGGGGACATTTCAAGCTCTAGATTAACAAAATAAAAGTTTGATGAGTGTCCAACTATGTTTTAACTTCAACAGAATACATGATAGTGTTGGGAAAGCATTAAGAACTAACCAAGGTCGCGTGACTGTCAACTCTCATGCACTCTCAGCCTCGTTTCACCCGGGCTTAAACATTCGGCAATACGGCATGATTCGTGGAGCCAAGATTCCAAGAGGGTGCTAATACACAAGTCCAACAAACTATTAAACACACGCAAGCTTACATGAAAGGCGCGTATTTTATACATCTGTTAGACACTAGAAATTATTTTATAGTTATCATATCTAGTATATGATCTGATCAAGGAAGCATTAAAGCTGTAAAGCTGTGAAATTAAGATAGCGGCAACTATAAAGACAAATATTGAAATTTCGTTCGATAAGGACTTCGCAATCTCATCTAAGTATGAAGGATATTACACCGGCGACACAAAGATGTGGATTGTGAACGTTCAGCGTTGGTTGCAGTGTAGTGAATGTTTTATTGCGTAAGTTTTAATACATCACCACATCAGGTCTCGACATTTCGAGTGAAGATTTTCGTCGTGGAAATGAGAGAGAGCATTAACTCTCTGGGAGGAAGGTTACTTGCCCTTAAATAATGTCGATAAGTGTTTTTGTCTCTTTGGCTGAGTTATTATGAATTTCAAGTATATATTTACTCTTATACATGCTGCCTAATACTCAAAATCATTGCTCAGCAAATAAGTTACAAAACAGGGAACCAGATGAGCTATATGTCGTTTTCACGATAAGAAAATATAAAATTTTGGTGTTGTTTTTGTTTCATGGAAACAAGACAATATACGTCCACCTTGGTCAGTAATGATATTCAGTTGAACCAAGTGGTTTAGCCACTAAATAAAGCCTGGGTTAAACGTGGATGAGAGTTGATGAGAGTTGGTAGTCACGCATTGTTACAGGGGAAATTTGAAGCTCTAGATTAACAAAATAAAGGTTTGACGAGTGTTCCAACTATGTTTCAACTTAAATAGAATATATGATAGTGTTGGGAAAGCATTAAGAACAGCTACCCGTGACTGTCAACTCTCATGCGCTCGCATCCTCGTTTCATCCTGGCTTAAGTTAATTATTGTAAATTCATATTTATATGCCGGTTAACTGAAATTGTTTCTTACAGGTTATGAGAACACATTTCATTCTCATTGCTGCTTTGGTTTCAGTTGTCAAAGGAGATCTCTATGGTGAGTTAATTAAAATAAATTTAACTAATTTAATCAAGCAATAAATCATTACTATCCCTAGATGAAGATTTTGTAAGATCGAAATAATCTGTTAACGTCGCAGTATATATTAAGTTATAAAGTTATTAGCCTCGACCTTCGCCTTTGGCTGGTAACAATTAGCGTGTATATAAAGGAACCGCAGCACCTGGCGAAAACCTGTTGTGTTTGATAGAGTCAAACTAGAAGCACTCTTCTCAAGTGTGACTGAGGTGAAATTATAATCAGACAACTGCATATTCCAGAAATCAAACCTGAGGCATTTAATAAGGCACTACCCACAGTACCCGACCACCCAAACTGATCAACGTTATCCTGCATTATCCCTAGATGAACACAAACTTCACCACTTCAGCGTATCCACTACATCAACATTGACCACGTCAGCTGACGTGTACAAACATGGCGACCGCGCTCTGAAATGGTCCTGGAAACCAGGCGACAGTCTAACACTGGACCTGTCCCATGAACCTGTGCGTGGTAGACAATTATACCGGGGCGGAATTAAGATATGGTTGTACCTACGGAAAATCATACCCGGGGAAATGACCCTATCATTTTACACCCTGGTCAACCGGGCTACACCCGCGCAACCTGAATGTGACTTTAGTATCTCCCTAAAATTTACAGGGTGGCGGGCAGTATGGGTTAGTTTTCAGGAATGCAAGCTTAGACGATCTATGTCGCCGTTATATCTAATGCGGATCCAGGCTCCCTTTTGGCACGCGGGCGTGATATACTTTGATCTACTCCATATTCTTCGGAAAAACATGGGTAAACAGTCACGTGACAGTATAGTCCCTCCAATCAGAGGCGCGAAACGTTCTCGAAGTTCTTGGCAGCAAACGTATCATTGGAATTTAATAAAACCAAACCAGGATATATTTAATGAATTTGAACTAACCGATGAACAATTACGTCATTTGAAAGAGATACGTTTGATCAAGACGCGGTTAAGAGATTGGTACCGAGTGAAAGGACAATCAACATATGAACTAACAGGTTATCACAGAACGCGTTGGTTTAGACTTCGAACTAAAATAAAGCGCGCTCGTGGGTATTTACAAACGCTAAACATCACGAAGACAAAAGATGGTTTCATAAAAGGCACGCCGCTTTTTTCCCGAAATTCCGAGTACGGACAACTGTCGATATCTGCACCCGACATAAAGTTCGGTTTCATGTTTCGAGACGTTTTGCTCCCCTTGGCATTTGAGTATTACTTTGCATCTAGGAAAGAAGAAATTCATAAAACTATTGAAATAAAGTTGTCAAAACTCAATCACCCGAACACAGAGAGAGCCACAGTAGAAAAGCTTGTAGGTTTTGATAAAGAATTGATGAACATATTTTACGACAAATATAAGTTAGGTATCAGGACTTTAACCAAATACAAACTGCGCAAGGCATTGAGGGAAATTAACCATAAGAGATTTCTAAGGATAAAAAGGATATTTGAGTACATTATAGATCAAGGCTGGGCAGTTGGGAGTGCATTGGGATCACTGGATCATGAAATGATTCGTAGTAGCAAAGGATTTGTGACGTCAATATTTTTACTTCATCAACAGCTGCGGCGCTCAAGTTTGTTACTGCAGCTCATAGACATCACGAAATGGTACCTGGAGTTTGGCGAGTTGTATCAAAAACCATTTGAATCTGTAGGAACAACTGCTGACCGCTTGAGAACGCTGTTTCTTTACCGACTCATGTGTGTATTAGTGATGCCTGAAGCGACGCTCCAAGAAGCGTTAGATAAGATGCGCGATATGAGAGCTTTGACGGCCTGGTACGAGAATGCGTTAAGTATTAACCCAGCTTTAGGAGGCACTATAAAACCAGATTATACCGGTTATCATCACCAGTCATTTTATCCAAACGATTACGTGTTACCAGGCCTCTTGACCGCGTCACACGTGGTTTATATACTGAGAGGGACTGAGTACGAGGTATCAGAAACGAGTCGAGACAATTTGAGAAACGCGATTCATTTCATGCGCTTGTTGTCTGAACAGTACATTATTCCTAACAGTGTTACTAACGCAAGCCCTACGATAGGTAAGCCTGAGCTTATCTGCCTCATACCAGCTTTTGCTTATGCAGTACTTTGGGAAGACTCGCAAGATTTAATTCCACACAAGACTCGCTCGCAATACCAACACATCGGGTCACTTCCACACCGGACGAATGAAATAGAGGCAAACTTAATTCCACACAGCTCTTCCACGCGAGATTACCACGCGGGATCACGCACACGCAGGACGTACACGCGCGATAAACACGCAGGCTCATTTTCACGAAAGACGTCCACGCACCACGCGAGGTCACCGTTACACAATGAAAGTATTCGCGCGTTTCTACGCATGTTCAATGAGTCGAATAGAGACGTACACGCCTATTTGAAGCGCGGCAAATGGTGCTCGTGGAAGAGTTCATATATGTACACCTTAGGGTCTCTTTCGCTTCTGTACGAGTTAAAGCAACGCGCTATGGATCTTGGGATTGATGCAGAGCCCGCCCCACAAGGCAACTGGGCAAAGAACTTCGCAGCACTCTCCATACACCGTCGTCAGGGCTGGGTTGTAACTGTGAAAGGATTTAATAACTTCATCTGGGGGCACGAATCATCGCATCGTGGCAACGAATATGGTAGGTACCAAAGCTATGGGCAGCTATTGATCGCTAATACTGATTACGGGTTAAAGGCGCATGATATCGACCGCGGTTGGGATTGGACACGACTACCGGGAACCACTACGTTGCGTATGCCTGTAGAACAACTCCGAGACAAGGAGACGAGGTTTTATAATCCAAAGAGTCTGTGTGGTGCGATGCATTTCCAAGGTACGAGTCAGTTTCGAAATGGTGTTTTCACCATGGACTTTGAACGACCAGGATATAGTGATAGGGCTGCAGAATTCTGGTTTAAAAAGTCCGTGTTCTTTTTCGACAATTTGCTAGTGTGTTTGGGAAGCGATATAAAGGCAAAACGGTTTAGTTTCAGACCAGCTGAAGTAGAGACAACGTTGTTTCAAAATATTGGTCAGTTTGGAGATAAAAGTCATTCTATCAGATTAAATGGTTACGAGATTCCTTTAGGAAGGCAACAGCATGCGCGGAGGTTTATATGGTCAATAAATTCACCGGGTATGTTAATGGATGTTAATCAGAATGGCTACTATATCTCCCGCGCGGGCAAGCAAGACCTCAATGTCTGGCTTGTGAATCAAACGTCAACCAACACCCGCAAAAGAGCGGGCGGATATTACGCAACGGCGGTATTACGCCACGGCGGTAACCCGAAAGGAATAAATTACGAGTATGCTGTTTTAGTGAACACATCTTATGAAAAGCTGTATAGAATGACTTGCGAGCAGGAAAGACTACGCGGGATACCACGGTACGAAGTGCTACGTCAAGATAGCCGTGCTCACGTAGTAAAGTTCAACAACTCCCCACGTTTAGGGATAACAACATACGGGTACTCCGTATTCACAACACGCGCCGTTCTACCAGGACCGCTACGGATGGTAGGGGATCCATGTGTACTTATGGTAGAAGATGGGGGTAGAAAGAGCAAACGACTGGTAATAGGTCTAAGTTATCCACAGATGAATTTCAACTCGACTAAAAAGATGAGAACTTCCCAAGACGTGCGAGAAGAGGAATTATATTACATGCGAAGTCAAGAGAAAAGGATCTGGGTATTGTTACGAAGTAAAGTACAGAGAGACGATTTTCGTGTGTATGTCGATGGGAAGGTAGTGGATAAACAAGACGTTGATGGATATGTAAGGATATTTCCTCTCTATGAGGAGGCAAGCGCAGGAACATTGGTGTATTTCAAAAATTTGCTAAACGGTTTTACAACGGAAGTTCATCTACGGCGAATTGTAAGTTCCAGTGTGGAAGCACGACATACACAACACTAAAATTCTATAAATAAATAATAATAATTTGAATGTATACGCATTGCATATACTATCAGGAAAACTAAACATAATTTATTTAATAGCTATTTAATGAACATATCCGTAGAGGTTTATACTATGTCCATAGGCTATCTCCGTATGTAAATATATGTTTTGCTATTTCGTGTCAATAGTTGATACAATTTTTCTAATTGTACCGCAATGCATTCTTTGCCCTCTGAGTTGGTTAAAAAGATAGGTATGATTGTTTAGAAACTAAGAAATTGCCACAATGGGCGACCCACATCACTGCTTGAAATGAAGCTCCGCCATTGCAGAGACGAAAGTCACATACACTACAAAGTCACATACACTGGGGGGGCAGGAGGGGCAGCCGCCCCGTTGCCCTTTACCAGGAGGGGCAAGGGGGGCTAAGGTGCCTTTTCAATTTAAAGGATTGCCTTGGCGAAATAGCGAATTGTCAGAAATGTTAGTGCAATTCTTTTACGAATTTGCTTCAAGAAATGCAGTCATCGAGCTTCAAGAATAGCACAATCGCCTGGCGGAGAACCCCCTCACACCCCTATCATCCAATAAATAGAAAACATGATTAGGCGAAGTTCAACTCCCGATGTTTTGCAAACATCTCTTAGTATATATCAATTCAAAAGTGCCCTTTCACGAAAATCTGCCCCCCTTGCCTTCACATCGTTCCGGCGTCCCTGACGCTATTTGTCCATTCCAAACTTTATCTGCGACAGCTGTTTACGCCTGTTCACTAATTCAGATAGAAATCTCATTCAAAATGCAAAGTGGAAGGAAATGATCGTGCTAGGAACTTGTAACAACTTTTATGAATACGACAAAATTATCTAGTCAAACTCATTAATAATTCATGAGCGAATTAGCCAACCATATTGCTTTAGTTTGCTCACATAATAATACTGGATACCTGATGAAGTATATTGATCCTGTCCTTGGACTGGTCAAAATTAATTCAGTCCTTAGACTGGATCCAAATTAATACACCTCACTAGTGATTCATTCGTATGAGTTGTCATTTCAAATCCTCCAATTCGGACTGGACTAGATTTCAAGTGCTCGCATTTTGATTTAGTCCTCGGCTTCGCTTCGGACGTGATCAAATTGCGCGGACTTTAAATCTATTCCAGTCCTCATAGAGTCGTATTTGAAATATCACTTTACAACATTCTTCCGGAAATACGCCACTTTGGCTACAGAGCCTCGCTTTCGTGCACGTGACATTAGTCAAAGCCTAACATCTCAAACAAGAAAACGAGGTTCTATAGCCAAAATGACGTGTTCCGGATGTAGTTATTGTATGTGGAGCGTGTTTTCCTCGAAAATGGCCGCCATATCGTTGTGTTATAAATCTCAAGGAATTCGGAAGTTTAAATATTTAATTGTATATACTGTATTAGGACTAGTCTGTTAGTGTAAAGGAAACGGCTTTTGTAATATAGTATATTGTATAGTATATATCATGTATTGAAGATTGACATAAGATAATCGGTCGAAACATGTTTGCAACTAGGTTTTGTCTTATTCATAAAAGTTATTATATGTATACATATTTCAGTGTCACACGTACTCATTACGACATACATACATACAATACTCTGTTTCACATTTTGCATGACAATTTAATTTCTTGAAAACTTTAAAATTTGCCAAAATTGCGCTGCTTATGAAAACGTTTTTCAAAAACAACAAAGCCTCAAAATAGAGGTACTTACCGTTAACGTTAATTTGGTTTTGTCATCTCTGCATGGCGCCAACATCAGTGAATCATTTTCCTGAAAATAAAGACTAGGCGAATCAATGCATAGAAACAACGCAATGTTTAAATGACAGCGCAATTTTCAATGGAAGCCAAGCAATTTTAAAGCAATCCAAGTCTAAGCAATGCAAAAACTAATTTAATAAGCGGATGGCCGCAATATACGATGATTAATGGGAGGCACTTAACCGTAGCTGATAAACGCCATCCTACGAACATTATAATGGAAGTCATATCAGATAAATGAACGACTCCCGACAAAAAGTAATTATGACTTGATGTTCTAAGTTGGACCGCGAGTATCATTATGTGGAGCGCCGCAGAGAGTTTAACTCGCATATATACACAACAAAAAAAGGGAAAATGTTTGTGTGAATATGTTTAATTATTCTAAAGAATCTAAAGATGAAATTGAAAGAATGACAGAGGCTTCAAACTGAGTACATCCATACGATATTGAGGTAAGTTTTTACATACATGTACTATAATATCTGCATGAATATGTCTTTTCTGTCATGCAGACCTTGTAACTTCGCTCTCTATATATATTTATATAATCGTGGAATACCCTATAGTTATTAAAGAGTTATAATTAATATTCAAACTGGGATCCATGCAGTGTATGCTGTAGGCACTATTTACAATAAGCTGTCGTGGTTCGTGCTGGAACTAAGTGAAACTAAATCTCAACCGTTCAACGCTTCAAGCTAAACTCCTTGGAATGAGGAGCAAACAAGTGTGTTTTTCATTTAGTTGAGACGCGAAACTAAAAACAGCTGCTTTAGAATTGAATATCATGCAATATCGATCAGGTTTTTCAAAATAGTTTAAGCCGCACACAGTGGCGCGCATCGGCTATATCAGTAATAAAGTCTAAAAGGATTAAAGCTTCACCATACTGAAAAAAATTAACAAGAAGGGATAATATATAAATTATATATGCTTAAAAAGGAAATCTATTTACACTTGAATGACGCGTCAGGCTGCAAGTTACACGATAGTAGTATATATGTCGCAATATTTCTGTTATTCAAAATTGAAATTTATGTTATTTTTGTATGAGTTGTCTACTCTACATGAATTGTACAAATGTACAATGATATAGTAGTAGTATGTCGCAATATTTCTGTTATTCAAAATTGAAAGTTATTTTGTTCTGTATAAGTAGTCTACTCTACATGAAATGTACAAATGAACAATGCTCATCAAGAGCCGAATGGAGAGCAAGTTCGTAATCGTATTTCATTCTTTTGTGTTCAGCCGTCAGTCGGCAAGTATGTTAATGAAAAACACTTCAATGTACGTTTTAAACAAACGCACATGCATGTATACACACCAGTCATTAGCATATGCATATATAATTTGGATAAACACAATTTTTGACAGGCATAGAATCAGTTCAATAAATAATGAAGGCTTCATCAAGATTCGCGCTGCAACTGCACTGTGTAAAAGCTCGTTTACACTATCAAAGTTTCCGAGATCACAGTTGGAATTTTGCACAGACAAATTCTAAGTTTCGAAGGATTTGTAAGAAATGTTTGAGGGAACTGGTTCAGTGTTTTAATCCTGGTGTTTGGATTGAGAGCCCATTTCCACTCAACAAAATATTCCACGGACAGAAACTATTTCGAAAATGTCATTGCTAAAAGTTGAAAATTTTCAACTTCAAAATATTTTTCCGACGGAAAATTTGTGTCGGCCAATCACATTTTACAAAATTTTCTTTCAGCGGAAAATTTCCTGAGTGGAAATTCAAGGTCGACTTTACTGATGTTGACCCTACCCTGCTGCCCCGCAGTAACGTTTGAATGTAATCACTCAGGAGTTTTTAGTTACTATCTAGTTTAACTTTAGGACTTGAATATTTTTTTAAACTTTTTCCAATTCTAATAAACAATAACTCACCGTTCAAAACATGACGTTGTCCCATCACGCACATAACATCCCACCTGCAATAGTTTAAAATTGGAAATTAGATCGATATTGTTGATCATTTGTCGTGCTCTTGACTTGTGCATTCACAGCACGGGTTCCACCTGCTGTGCGACTTAGTTAAGCCTCTCCTACCGTACATATATCTGATGTTTCGAGAAATGCCGTCTATAAAGCATGTATGGGATCACATAAAAGCTATCTAGGATCCACGGTATCTGAAGATTTGTGGTAAACCGTAGAATGAAAGGGTTAATTCAGGTATATACTTATAACTTATATATTTTATATTTAGCATTAGTCTAAACTTCTGGTCGTTTCTACAATAACACTTATTTGATCAGGGGATAGGATCACGCAAAAGTAAAATACGACGTGAACGATGTCTGTGGAACGTTTGTGGTAAAATAATGAAAGGGTCGATGTGTAAAAAACATATTATTCAAAGAAACTACATAAATTTGATATTTTGTAAAGGCTCTTTTCCACTCATCGCCGGCAAAAACCAACTCCCAAGCGACTATCAATAAAACTATCAATAAAACTGTGGAGCATTGTGATCGGAAAGTATATGTACACGCAGCAAACTTGCGAGTTGACTGTCTTGCGATGAACAAGAACAAGCAACTGTTCAAAAGGTTTTCTTTTACTCCAGTGGGACAAAAGGCATTGTTCGAAGGCTGTATATTCACTTGATAATGTTAAAACATTAAATACTATAGTCCATGATATATCCCGAAATGTACGTTTATTCATTCAAAATACTTGAGACTGAAGAGTGAAGATCTTTTGCCGTGATGCCATCTGAACAACAGTGTCAACATTCTGAGATATCCGGTTGACTGATTGCTACGGTAACGAGAGTGGTTATATATTATAACTTATGCAACCATCCCAAGTCATCAATGTTAGCCAATCCGCAAGGCTGCCAGAGCGGACATTCGATAAACAATTAATAAGCAAAACTTTGCAATTATGATCTATATACGTGTAAGGAATATTTTAGGTTTGTTGTGATGATCGTAATAGAAAACAATTATCGACGTTAATTAATCCCAATTTAGTTTTCAATAATGAATGTATCCGAAATTCTAATGAATGTATCCGAAATTCTAATGAATGTATCCGAAATTCTAATGAATATTTTATTGCAACGTTAATGCTTGCTTATAAGCTCAGTGTCAATGGAGAAACTCTCATGTATTTTAAACTTTATTAATACAAGTCAGTTTCACTGGTATAGTCATTTATTATTAGACTACCTTGTTCCTATAAGTATCAACCGACTTTTGTAGTCGATCGCTGTATGTCTATATTCAACTTGCTTAACAACTTGTCCTTTCTTAGCAATGGTGAGCCGACCAGTGATGACAAGTGTTGGACGTGAAAAAGTGATCATAAATGTGAGTGGACGACGGTTTCAAACGTGGCGAAGCACGTTACGCAAACACCCGGATACGTTACTGGGCAGCGATCATATGCTGACGGATTTTTACGATCACAAGAAACAAGAATACTTTCTAGACCGTGATCCTGACGTCTTCCGCCATATTTTAAGTTATTATCAAGGCGGTAAGCTTCATATTTCTCACGCGGACTGTATGGAGCTGTTTTATGACGAACTGAAGTTTTATGGTATTTCAAATAGTACTGTCCACGAGTGCTGTTGGGGCAATTGTTATGAGATGTCTTTAAAAATGCTGAAATACACCAGGGAAAAGAATGAGGATCAATGTACAAAGTGGGGAAAGACGAGAGGCAACAAATTTCGTAGAATCCGGAAAAACATTCACAGTTTCTTAGAAATGCGCAAAGATTCATTCTCGGAAAGATTATTCCAGTACGTGGTTGGTGGTTTTATTTGTTTGAGCATCGTTTGCGCTGTCATGGCTACGCTCCGCTGTGACGGCGACTCAAAAACCTGGGAACAATGTTATTTGAAAGTTTTTGAAACTTTTGATATCATATTTATGTGGGTCTTCTCGTTGGAGTACGCGTTGCGTCTCTTCTCGACGCCATGTTTTGGAAAATTTTTCAAAGACAAATTTAATCTCTTTGATTTGGCCGCTATTTCACCGTTTTATATTGACCTGGGGAGAAGATGGTTTGCTGACGACAGCGTTGCCATGGGAACTGATCTCTGGGACGTGTTTCGTGTACTTCGCGGGATTCGTATTCTAAAACTCGCGAGACATTCGTGGTTTATGCGTAAATTTGGGCGGCGTCTAAAGAAAGCTGTGACAGATTTGGGGTTTTTATATTTTGCGTTTGCCCTTGCTAATATTTTCTTTGCAAGCTGTCTTTATACAGTGGAGATTCTACAAGGCGAGGAGACATACAAGAGCATACCGGACACTATGTGGTATACAGTGGTAACTATGATGACGCTAGGGTAAGTGTGGATATTAGAAATATTAGACCTAGATCAGAATGCGTGCTCCTATCCTTTCTCAGTTAAGTGAGGCCACATTAACTTTTCAAAATGGCCGATTTAACGTCGAGACACACTGGACGCGATTCGACAACGCGACGCGATTTTGCGATTTTCACTGAGCGATAACTTTGATCCTAGTTTAAATTTTCCAAATATTTAGAAGTGATATAACATTTTGAGTTATTCGGTCTACATATCTTTCAAAATTTGCTCTCATTGGCTGTTTTATTAATTTTCAAAAACTAAAAAATCGCGTCGCGTTGTCGAATCGCGTTCGGTATGTCTGGACCTTTACAAGGGCAAATTAATCTCGACAAATCCAACATGGCCGATTTATAAGGGCCACTTTATAATTTTTGTTTTCAATTTGGACACCAGTCACGTGACCAACCACGCATTCTAGGTCAAATTAATTTTAATATTAGGAATTGTTTCAGAAAATAATCTTAACTTAATTAATAATCTCAATAATCAAATAGTCAAAATAATAATCCTAATCCTAATAACCAAATAATCTTATAATCCTAATCCTATTAAAACTAATCCTTACTCGACTCCTACAATGTAATGAATGTATCGAAGCAATCTTCAGCTCAAATATGGTTTTATTTTTTCTTGCTAGATATGGCGATACAGTGCCACGAACGATCTTAGGAAAGATAATGGGAGCTTTTTACTGTTTATTTGGTATTATCATCCTAGCGCTGCCCGTTCCAATATTACAAGATGTCGGAAGCTGACCACGAGACGCCTCCACCCGCATTTAAGGAAAGGAAAACAGAGCCTGATACTCAGGCCGCTTTTACACTATAACGCTACGCCTACGGCTAACATTCCGTTAAAAATTCACTACGTATCTTAGTGATTGTGTTTACACTATAATGGAGTGGTTTGCTGTAGTGGTTTGATGTAGTGGACTATTGCGTTTGGCACTCCGCAAACAAATCAATACGCTGCGGTAAATTATCTTAGCGTCATAGACAGTTTAATTAAACGCAGCCTGTTTGACTAATTAGTGAGCTTAATTAACCAAGCGATGTTTTCGAACTCGTTCAAATTTTGATGAGAGTTGATGAAAGTTGACGAGAGTGTTTGCTTGTTTGACCTGTAACACCCAGTGAACTCTCATCAACTCTTTTGCAACTCTTGTGCAACTCTTGTGCAACTCTTGTGCTCGTTTGACCGTGCACGTGAGTTAATGAAACTCTCATGTTTCAAACCCTCGCTTCCCGCTCTCATCAACTCTCATAATTCTCGTTTGGCCCAGGCTTTAGAACGTTGCGCTTTCAAAACAAATAATTTTGTCAAGAGAATAGGCGCGCTTTGTAGAATTATGTATTTATGTATAAAATAAGACAAAACCAAACGAGTAACTGGGTGGTATGCAGAACAGTGAAATCTTCAAAACAATAAAAAGGCCACTCCAAATTAGACTTTAGTTTCCCGTCCGGGCCTTATTTCAAATTACACGCGGGCGGGCGGGCCATTTCCATTATCCATTATGGTGTCTGAACGAATCTGACACGACCCATTATTCCATGAAATAGTTACACATTTTAAATATCCATTGAACCACGTTACTACGTCCTGTTTTGTTTTTTTTGTATGCATGCAGAAATGAAAGCCAGGATATTAATTAACCTTACGTTCGAAAATCAAAACGTGTAACGGAAGTGTCTAGCTCAGCGGTTAGAACTTTACTGTAGTAAAAACGAACAAAAACAAGAATTCAAGCTCTTTCATAAAAGTTTGAACAATTTTGTTTTGATTTTTACGTATTATATGATAAATATGTATTTCTTGAACGATAGATTTTTCGAAAACTGTGCATTATCATTATTCTTAGTCATAAAGGTCAAATAATGGAAACAAATTAGGAATAATGGACAAATCATGCGGCCAGTTCTAGGAGACGCGGCGGGCGGAGGACGGGAAACTAAAGTCTAATTTGGAGTGGCCAAAACGTTCCGATCACTGGATTGTGACAACTTTTGTGAAGTGCCATGCAAATTCGAAACAGTGATATACTACTACGCGTTGATTAGCACGTCTTCAAAATGAATTACATTTACATAATAAGACGCAATATGGCGTTATCCATGTCAGTTTTGTTTTGACAATACTCGCCCGTTTTGAATCCAAACAAAAAACATTCAATTATAAAATAAAGCAATAGGAATTACTTGTTTTAAAAATGTTTTGCAAAAATAAATGTTATAGTTTGTTGAATATAATTAACATAAGTAATATAATAATAGCTCAATCTACATAACTAAAATGCTTGCAATCTTGACTTATTACTGTTATTAGAATGCCCAGAAATGTATTGATTTGACGTGACTTCATCTAATTGCCGTGTCGTAACACTATGCGTGTACAACAAACAAATTGCAAGAACATTCATTTGCGTATTAATGTCAAACTCAGAGTCCAAATTTATGCAGTTTTGTCCTACAAATGTTTTGTCTTCAAACAAAAACAGTCTGGTTGTTTTAGATTAAAATAAAGAGAACTTAAATATTCCAAAACGTGTGTACAAACACACATCAAAACACATTTGATTTCCAGAATACGCTCATTAAAGCTCTCATCCTTCAGAAAAAATGTCACAATTAAAAAAATTAGAACACCTCTTTACATGAGTGTGAAGTAGTATTTTATGCCGCTGGAACATAATATGCGGTGGCTTAATTATGCATACAAATAGAGGCGCTTGCTTGCTCCTTATTAAAAATTAACACAGTTAACCAGTAAACTTGCCTATACACGCAATTTAATAAACTACTTCAATTCTTTTGGGATAATTGCGCGATATTAGAAGAGATTAATGCCTTGGAGTACACCTGGATGCATTTTTAAAGAGTGCTGAGTCTTACAACTTGGAAATTGTGCAGTATTTTAGCTTACTTTTGATGCAGTGAGGGGTAAATGTTGTATACAACTCGCCAAGGTTGGCACCTGTTTGAGTGTAATAATATTGGAGTATGCTAAAGGTTTTTTAAAGATATTTGTTGGATTTCAGCTCGTGCTAATGGTTCAGTATCCTTATGCCTACAAGCCCACGTTTGTCAGAAAACAGTGCAGGGAATGACCGCGTACGAATCACGTTTAACGTTAGCGGGAAACGCTTTGAAACATGGAGTGGCACGCTAAAACGTTTCCCCGATACGTTGTTAGGAAGCGCGATGATGGAGCGGTTTCATAACTCCGAAACTGGAGAATATATTTTGAACAGAGATCCGCTCATATTTAAATACGTTCTAAACTTTTATAGAACTGGAAAGCTCCACTGCTTTTGGGGATATTGCCACCACGAATTTTTAGAAGAGTTGAATTTTTATGGCATTCCAGTGGAACTTGTAAACAGTTGCTGCGAAGATTTTCTAAGGCGAGAGAAAACAGAAGCACAGCTTAAAAGCTCTTCGGAAATGGCTCAATCTGCTGACATTTTCTTGTCCAACTCTGGAGGATCAATGCGCGAGAGACTGTGGTATTTGTTCGAATATCCACAACATAGTTTTCTAGGGAGAATAATATTGTATGCAGTCGGGATTTTTATATTAGCAAGTGTTGTCGGAACAGTGACTGAGACGGTCCCATGCCCAGACATAGCCTGTGGTTTGAAATATAAATGGGAATTTTTTTATCTAGAAGGAATTTGTGTTGGAGCATTCACGCTCGAGTTTATAGCAAGATTGTGGGCAGCACCATCCCGGAAGGCTTTCATGAAAGAAATTCTAAATATTATCGATTTAGTGGCAATAATTCCTTTCTATTTAACGTTGTGTTTCTTAATCGCGACGCAAGGTGCAGGAGGAGGGAGTCTCAAGTTGCTAGCGGCTCTTAAAGTTCTTCGCGTCGTACGAGTATTCAAACTCGCTAGACACTCGCAGAAGTTACGAGAGTTAGGAATGACTATAAAGAATGCGTCATCAGACTTGGCTTTCTTATCGTTCGCGTTATTTATGGCAGTCTTACTCTTCGCAAGTGTTATTTATTTTGCGGAAAATGGGAATAAACCGCCAACATTTAGTAGTATTGTCGACGCGATGTGGTATACCGGAGTTACGATCATAACACTCGGGTGAGTTACTTCTTTAAACTAAACTGAACTTTGTACTGATTGGTTGATTTTATTATCATAATGTTTTCCCACCAATCAGATCAGTTTGTTACGGGAAAATTTTCCGCGGAAAGAAAAATTTGTAAAATGTGATTGGCCGACACAAATTTTCTGTCGGAAAAAAATTTTGAAATTGAAAATTTTCAACTTTTAACAATGATATTTTCGAAACATTTTCTGTCCGTGGAAAATTTTCGTGAGTGGAAATGGGCCTTGAGGATGTTTAAGTTTCAAATTTTAGATGCGCACCAAATAGGCTAGCTACTCGCATATTTTGAAAGGCGTTGCGTATAGGCTAAAGTAGACCATAGTCAATTGTGATATGGGTCTGGAAACTCGTGCAAGATGAGGCAATGTTTGGCATGATGAAACAGCCATCTAATAGCATCGCTTCGCCTAGTCACTAACCGTACTGGTGAAATATTAATAGGCGAACTTTCAAAAGCTTTGTGCACGGTGGAGCGGTCTCAACATAAAATCGGTTTCGGCTGACGGTGGGCAGAGTTCTATAGTGGTTGAGACGCTTGATTGTGATGATTACATAAATATATAACCGCAGTTGATTACTAGAAGCAACTAACAAGTTAAATGACAAAGTTATATTCCAGCTTTAAACAGTTAGCTACCAGGGGCCGGTTGTATAAAACTCTTAATCACTTTTTTAATCGCTGTTTTGTAGTTAAATAGTGATTAACTCTCAAATAGGCGCTTCTTATTGGATGAAATTTCCACTAACTATAGTTAACTTTAATCACTTTTTTATACAACCTGCCCCCAGTTAGCTAACTGCATTTGGCGGTTGACAAACATAACATCATAGTAAAGAATTGTCAGTCAAAATACAATTATCAATGTTTTAAAATTGACGCCATCAAATAAAACAAAGTTGATGATATTTTCTAATTTGTTTATAAAACATGTGAACAAATTTATATTTACATCTATCCATGTTCGTTCATGCATGTTGAAGTCGAATTCAAAAAGAGTACTGGGGAAACCGTTTCTCAATATAGACTTGAGATGAGATCATTTTAGGACTGTCATCTTAGACATTTTTGGACAAACATCAGATCATTTTAGGACAGCCATTTTTTATCATTTTAGGACAAACATCAGATCATTTTAGGACAGTCGTTTTTGATAATTTTAGAACAAACATCAAATCATTTTAGGGCAGTCATTTTAGATCATTTTTGGACAAACATCAGATCATTTTACTTTTAGACAGGGACGCCGGAACGATGTGAAGGCAAGGGGGGCAGATTTTCGTGAAAGGGCACTTTTGAATTGATATATACTAAGAGATGTTTCCAAAACATCGGGAGTTGAACTTCGCCTCATCATGTTTTCTATTTATTGGATGATAGGGTTGTGAGGGGGTTCTCCGCCAGGCGATTGTGCTATTCTTGAAGCTCGATGACTGCATTTCTTGCGTTTTCTGAAGCAAATTCGTAAAAGAATTGCACTAACATTTCTGACAATTCGCTATTTCGCCAAGGCAATCCTTTAAATTGAAAGGGAACCTTTGCCCCCCTTGCCCCTCCTTGCCCCGGCTGCCGCTCCTGCCCCCCAGTTCCGGCGTCCCTGATTTTAGAGCAGTCGTCTTAGGACAAACATCAGATCATATTAGGGCAGTCATTTTAGATCATTTTAGAACAAATATCACATCACTTTAGGGCAGTAACTTTTGATCATTTTTGGACAAACATCAGATCATCTTAGAGCAGTTCCAATTCAATAACTCATTCTTGAACTCATTCAAATGTTTCTGCATTTTCTTCTCAGATATGGGGATGTCGTCCCAAAAACGGTTTTCGGGAAGATTTTGGGTAGTATGTGTTGTGTATTTGGACTTTTTGTCGTATCCCTAGTTGTCCCGGTCATACAAGAGAAAGAAAAGACGTAAAAAGGAATGAAAGATACGATGCAGGCATCGTTTGCAATCAACAAAGGTCCACTACGCTGCAACCGTTGTTTTTGCAAGGCCCGGTTGTTCAAAGCTGAATAAACGCTGACCCTCGGTTAAGATTTAACCTGCTGTATTAGTTTATGTACTTGTTTATTTCATCTGTTTATTTCAAAACTGTTTATTTCATCTGTTTATTTCAAAACGCACATCTGTTTATTTCAAAACTTCAGGGAAGAAAACCTCTACTGATCCGGACACGATTTCTGAACTGAGAACTATTTTCAGTTTTTTAAACAAAACCCAGGGTTAAGCTAATCAGTTTTTGAACAACTGGTCTGGAGGGAAACCAATTATCACGAGCCGTTTTCGGATCTTTGCAAGAACTTGTCCCCTCTACCTTATATGATTATGGCATTCCTGGTGAAATATTTAACGGTGTTTCCTCATAGGAAATAAAAAATATAATACGGTAGTTGTTTTGCGAGGGAAAATTGAAGAACATGGAGCATTTCTAGCGCTGATGATGACTTATAGCGCTGTAGTAAACATGAATAAAAGAGAAAGGCAGCACAGAGAATCGCACCTCACTGGAAAAAATTTTGAAAATCCATAGAAGGTCATAGAATGGAAATTGTATGGACCTTTATTGGGAATAGAATGGATTTTGCTTATCCATAATAATTGTATATTTCTATAGTATGGATATAGTATCGAAATAGGATGGATACACTATGGATTTAGTGGTGCAATTGCAAATTTCGTAGTATGGATTTCACTTTTTTTCCCAGTGCCTTGGAGAGATTTTCTTCCGCTCTCGTTGGTTTTCCTTATTTTAAAGTCAATGAAAGCATGGATATTAAAAACATAACATATAACATTCAATTTGATAGATATGTGCATACTTTTATTTATATTTTTCACGCATTGTTGAAAATAAAATGAATATATAATTTTGTCAGAAAATGAAAATACAATTTTCAATTGATCATGTTTCAGCGTCTAAAGATCTATCCTGCAAAATTCCAGCTTTTAATTTATGCGTGCAGGGGGTGATGGGAAGTAAGGTATCATTTTGCTGATTATGCTGAAAAATTTCAATAAAAACTGTCGAAACAACCGAAATATTTCAATCATAGTCTTTCAAAACATGGTTTGGAAACTCCGCTAAAGTCTTTGTTCTATCTTTTTGTTCGCCTTTATGCAGTTTTGTGCACGGTGCACGGTCAATGAACACATTGTATTTCAGTATAATGAACGAATCATCCAATAGCAACGTTTCAGTTTAGTCATTCAACCATGCTATTTAAATATTAATAAACCTAATAAAACAAAGGATGTGCACGGTGTAAGGTACGGCTCAACATAAAATCCCAGCTCATTATAACCGCTTTGAAGTTTACTGAGTTTCCAGACCATGTCTCGAAAGACTATGTATAAGCTTATTTACAAGTATAAGCTACCACTCCGTGTTTACACGGCCGCCATTTTTTTTCTTCAGCATAATCAGCAATATGATACCTTTTTTCTCATCCCCCCCTGCACGCATAAACTAAAAGCTGGAATTGCCTATTGCACCTTGTCATAGTTATATATTAATGTTAACTATGACCTTGTCTATAAATATTTTAAATACGTATTTCGTAAACTGGCTGAAATTCAACGCCATTGGTAAATAAGCGAATAGACGGCAGATCAGGAAAACGAATCAGGAAAGAGGTCATAGCGTAGGACTAAGGGGAGTACGGGGGGTGCGTCTTTTCCACGTCCATTTTCCTACTTGTGCAAGGAGTCAAACATAGTTCACCCTCCGTCTAGAGTTGCTATTTCCTAACACTTACGGGGGGTGCGTCTTTTCCACATCCCCATATCTGCCATATTCCCTGTGATTACAATTCACGATTTCGTCATTTCCATGCATCAATCTATGATACAGTCTAGGACTTCTCGGCACAGTACTGACTTGAAATACTAGACGATTCCGTGTCGGATACATCTGTTCATGATCGATTCGTTGCCTTAGGTTGTTTAGCCATGTTCAGTGTTCTCGCTTTTGCGCGTAAGGTGGTGACTAAGACAGGATTATAACGACAACAGAAAGAAGGACAGGAATCTGTAGCTACTCTGAAGACTGTGTACATATGATCTGGGGCAGCAATTTCTGAAGAAACTTCATTTTCAGAAGACACTGCTTTACTACCTAGTAGTTCTTTTGATATTGTGTTCGAAAAGAAAGATTTGGTATCATTCGCTGTCACAGATGAAGTCACTGTTGGAGGACCCACGGACCCTGTGCGTTGTTCATATTTAGCCGCCAGTTTTACCAATTCTTTGGATGAAAAATTATTCGAACCGCTCTCGCCCTGTAACGAGCAGACCGTAGACCATTGTTCATTGAAATTCTGCCAGCTCTGCGGATCATTTCGTTCTGTTTTGCCTTTCAAATTGTCTTGAATTTCGTTCTTCACGTTTTTTTGTCCATCATCAGCTAATGTGTATACAGATGTAATACGAATAGGAAGATCTTCCGACATAACGAATATTTCGCGAGAACTATACCGTGAATTCTTTACGCAGTTTTAACAATAAAAGCCAAACATTATACTGTGACTGTTTATGCGCAATTTTTGATATTTGACGCAAGAAATACACACAAAAGTGTATCAGATTACATGAAATTCGAGTACCATTTTTCAGTTTCGGTTGTATTTGTCAGATTTGGTTACAATTCTACACTATAAACTTCACAAATCACGGAGTATTTTCATGAAATACATAAAAACTCCGAACAAAGAGTGTCTTTACACTTCTACAATGCCTCCGAGCCATTTTGGGGGGAATATCAGAACGCATATTCAATGACGCCACACATCATCTCATATTTCGTTTGTCAGCTCATAGTCAGCTGTTGAGCGTGTGATGCAACATTTGAAACATAAGAACAAACTTCTATCTTCGAAACATCGAAGTTTATTGTTGCACCATGCTGTCCATGCACACAAATCCGCCAATTGTATTCTTCATTAGGCCAACGAAAATTGATACCATGTTTCTCGTCCACAATTTTCAAAAATTTGGAGCGGGATTTTTTCATTTTTCATTATTGTTTGTATTTGAATTCTGCTTGTCAATAATTTCCTTGACCCAGACTACCCAGTAAAAAAACCCATAAAAATCTGAAGTAAATCGGTGTATAAATCATTTTAATTGAATACGTCCTACACTGCAGTATATTTCTACACATACCAGGGCTGACATGACAAATAGAGGCATTCTGGCGAGTAATATCTTTAGAAAGATACAATTTGAGTTGCGCTTGCGGAATGCAGCAACAAGACTTTGATCTGGAGATCAATTTGGTGTTTTATTAAGCCGATTTTTCAAAAATAATGAATAATGAAAAAGTTTCGTGCGGCAGATAAATCCCATGCGGGTGGGGACGAGAAACATGATATCAATTTTCATTGACCTTACGGTGAATTCCTGTGAGAAGAAATATACAGGGTGTATCAAAAAAAACTGAACAGATTTAAAATTGCTCTCAATTTTGCAAAACAGCTATTTGTAGCTGTTTTTTATATATATAGCTTCTTTGGGTACTTATAATGTAAAATAATGAAAAAAATTTCTCGAACTTAAATTTTGTGAACCAGGGGGGGGGTGTCTTTTCCAACAAACTAAAAATGGCTCGCGCACAAAATTTAAAAGCTGCAATCATATTTTGAGTTAACAGATGGAAAATTTGTCGGGATTTTAATTACTGTCCAAAATTTCAGACAATTTGGTTTAGTTTAAGCTCCTTAACTATTCACGCAAATTTACAATTTTCCCGAAAAATCAGCTATTTGCATGCTTAATTAATGCTTTGCCTAATTTGCATATGTCAGCAATATGCAAATTAGGTAAAGGCATTAATTAAGCATGCGAAAGGCTGACTTTATAGAACAAAATGAATAGTTAAAGGGCTTAAACTAAACCAAATTGTCTGAAATTTTGTACAGTAATTAAACACCCGACAAAGTTTCAATCTGTTAACTCAAAATATGATTACAGCTTTTAAATTTTGTGCGCGAGCTATTTTTAATTTGTTGGAAAAGACACACCCCCCTGGTTCACAAAATTTGAGTTCGAGAATTTTTTTTCATTATTTTACATTATAAGTACCCAAAGAAGCTATGTATATAAAAAACCAGATACAAATAGGTGTTTTGCGAAATTGAGAGCAATTTCAAATCTGTTCAGTTTTTT